CGTCCTTAGTTTTGAAAAGCCTAGGCCAGTCCGGTCGAAATTCTCTGCGGCCGCCAGATGCCCAGGTAATCTGAAGATATCTATGGACGGCCTGCAGGCTTTCCACTTTTAATCACTCGGAAAAAGATATCAGGAGCAACATGCACCTGAACCTATAGATCTCGCTTAAGGTAAATGCATGACATCCAGCGATGAACCCCCGCTGTACCCCAATATGCTGTCCTACCTCAAGGCACTATACTATTCTTCACACAACTCTCTGGCCACCCCGGGTGAATATGTATTGTCCGCATGAAACAGTTAGTCCTGTTGAATAATGAAATATTTCTTGGTAGTGAAACACACGCGAGCCCTTGAAACATCGGCCTGCGGGTGACCCAGGCCGGGCCCGGCTTTGGTTTGGAAAAGCCGCTTTCCCACAGTCCGGCCCGGCCGGCCCTGAAAAAGCCTGGGCCAGCCCAGCCGTACTCAAAACTGGACGGACTGGCCGCTTGGGATCACTGTGTTGCTCCTGATATCTTGTTCCGAGTGATTAAAAGAGGAAAGCCTGCAGCCTGGGACGCTCCGCGTTGACTGTTCAATCACCAATTGACCTCGTCACATCATAGCATGGCGCAAGATCACCACCGCGCCACCCAAGTTAGGTTTTTTCCCTCCAATTCAAGTAGACGTATATTGGACTTTTTAGGGTGAGGTTCAGTTGCCGAGTTGCCGCAATGCAGTATTGGGCAAGTGTGATACCGCATTGGCCAATCTTATGCATTTAGGATATATTCCGCAACCTATGCCAATGCAAGAAGGGCTGTTCGGTTCCATAACAGAGGTCAAATCATAGCAAAATTGGCTTCTTTTGACATGTTTAGGGTCGAAACCTGGCTCTGAAGAAAACTAATTTAATTTGACATTTCATATCTATAATTTGCGACATGATTTATCTCCTACCCTCATCACTAGTCTGGACAGAACTGTGGGTACTGGGGCGGAAATCACCGCTAGGAGCCCCATCAGACCCAGTGTTTCCAACAGTCCAGTCCGTCCGCCCCTGGGGTATGACGGGACGGACTATATCCCGTAGTCCGTCTTTTTAGTAGCGCGAGGATGGACTACGCCTGGGACATGTAGGACCGGACGGACGATGGAGAACTACCGTCCTAGTACCTGAAACCCTATGAACAAAATGGCCTTGTCAGCCACAATGTCTCAACAATTTCTGAGGTTCATTGTGGTATAATATGTTGTTCCCCGCGGTCCCCTGTAGTCCTTTGTAGTCCCCAGTATTCCCCGATAGTCTCTGATAGTCCCTCGCTGTCCATGGTAGTCTCGCGCCGTTCCTGGTAATGCCCAGCCATCCCCAGAAATCCGCCACCATCCCCCTCACCACCACTGTTTCACCCCGTAGGCTCCGCCGTTCAGCCTAAAGATTGCCGTCCTCTACTTTCACCACCTGGAATGGACTGCACACGACAGTCCTGTCTTGTCCAGGGCTCTCGGCAATCCCCCTGACATTTAGGAACACTGACAAGAACGGCACACCCAGCACAGCCATGGAAGGAATCATACGGTAAGGGAAACCATGTTCCACGCTCGACTCTGCCAGGACAGCGGTGGAGAAAAGAGTCAGATTTTCCAACCCAGCCTGTACCACGACCCAACAAGTGTCATTTGAATAATTTTTAATGCCGTTTCAACACATATTAGTGGGTGCATGATAGCTCGAAAACCCGAGCTACCTGGGTGGTGTCTTTTTGCTTCTTTCAAGTTACCGAAGGACCCCAGCTCAGGTAAGCTTTTGACAGACACTACTTGCTAAAATAAAACGTCTATCCCCAACCTTTACCTGGGCGTAAACGACCGAAGCGCACCCCGCTTGCAAAAATTAAGGCTCACCTCTTGTAACCTCTCTGCATCACCCGCGATCCTGTTTTCTGGGAATATTTGGTTTAGGAGTAATGGCTGTAAACACTCTTTCGCTGTTGTCGAGGGCGCCAAAGGGGAGTGGTTGCTTTGTTACCACTGGCGGTGATATCTTAGGGACAGATTTTTTTATTATAGTTAGTATATCATGAGTCCTTTGAGACCTCTATGTTTGTTCAAAGTGCCATTTCTCTCACTCACCCTGCTGACCTGATTCTCAACTCCGGCGCATACAGCCATTTATTTCTCAATATCAGATTCGTTAAACTGCTGTGCGCGCCTTCTATCCTAACCCCTGCCTCCTTTTTGCTGCCGGGGAGGTCTCCTGGTTCAACCTGCGGTTCCAACCAAATTACCTTCTTCCCACCCCGCTTCACCACTCTTCTCTGGACACTATAGGGGTCAACTAAGACCTACCTATGATCCCTTAGAACCTGTGGACTTTTGGCCAATTTTTCCCACCCAATCCCAGCAGGCAAATGATAGTCTATTCCAGATAAAAATTAGCCCATAGCCAAAATCCACTGCCACCCACTATGGCACCACCCGAAATATGATTAGTTAATAAAGCAATTCCCTAATACACCACGCATTCTGATCTTTGCCAGTACGTATCACTCTAGCGGGGTGCCAGTAATCCGGTGTCGTGTTTCACTGTAAAGTCTGAACATAACAAACGGAAGATTCTTACCAGAATCTACTAGTGTCTAGTGGTTCCCTCCAGATTATACAGCACTAGTCTTTATAGCGTATTCCAATCTATTGAGCCTTGATCCCTTTCTTAGCTGCCCCGTGGCCTTGACCTTCAACTCCTTTCGAGCAGTCCTCTAGCCGTGTGGGAATACCTGGCATTAGAGACTTCTTGGTTCCTAATACCATATCACGGTGATAGGAAGAACCGAGAACGATGCTGGGGCTACCAGAATTTCCCCTCCCGGATTAATGGAAATTTCAGCTGAAGGTTTTCTTTTTCTTTTTCTTTTTCTTCCCCCCCGCTTTTACTGCACGGTCGGGACGAATGAGAGGAAATACGGAGCAGACCTTTCAGGTATCGGTGAGGCAACTCCAAGGTCCTCCACTAGATTATCAACCGAGCCGGTTGTCGAGGCAGGGTATAATATAGCCTAGTGTCGATACTTACCCCAAACCCAGGCTCGAGAACAAGCAATGGTGAAGGATTTTAAGCAGAGTGCCCGGTTGAGGAAACATTAAGATAGAAGCAACGCCTGAACACCTCTCCATATAATCAAGTCCCTCGGTGCTATACAGTATGGCATTGACTAACATGGGTCCTCAGCGTTCTAAGACCGGTGCCAGAATATGTATTACGAGTATTCCTCCTTCAACACCACTATCCCGATATCAAATTGGGGTAACTTGCGAGTTGTCCCAGCTTTCCGGAAGACGAGGGGCCAGGAAGGGCATGTCGGCAATGTCTAAGGAAATTTAAAGGAGTGGAAGACGATACCGGCTTACACCGAGGAGGTATTAGAGGAAGCCAGTTAAGATAGATCCGGTTGCCCTTGTAGAGAGATCACGGAGTTAATACAGTTTCTACGCCCATCCATATAACTCTAAACTCACCTCTCCCCTTCACTATACTTACACTATCACAGCCCAGCCAGATATATAGAGGAACAATCCATCCCCTACTAGGCCTCCCTTTATAGTTGATAATAAATTGATAACCGGGTAAGCAGAACATTTGAATTCTTGACTCAAATCCGGGGGCTATGGATACGCTGTTCAACAGAGGGACTTGTATCAGGAACTCGAAATCCGGCGCTATTCGGTTGTGATTGTAGATTGAAAGATTTGCGTCCCACCTAAAAGCTTTGAAGGTCTAGCACCTAAACTCAATTTCGAGGAAAAATCGGTAAACCCGTCAATTTGAAGGGTTTTCCCCAGTCACGAAGTCCTCAATCCGCTTTCATGCAACTCACCTAATTTCTCTTAAGTCACAGCTCATGTGAGGAAATTAGGCGCCCACTCAAAACGAAGATTCAATCTACCCGTTTAACGGGACAGGGATACATTGTAGTACTAGCTGGGAAGGAGGAAAAAAGGGGGAAAATGTATAAAGACAAGCTATGTGATATTATTGTCTTACGCGGGTAACCGAAGAAAGGTCTATGGGCAAGGCCAACTGTGTAATGTTCTATTTTCGGTTGAATTTTTAACTGTCTAGCAACCAAGCAGTGTTCCCAACGGGCCGGGCGGGCCGGGCTGAACCAAAGCCGGGCCCGGCCTGCCACAACTATGGGGGATTTAGCCCGGCCGGAGCCTGCAGGCTTTGAAAAGCCTGGGCCTGGCCGGGCCGGGCCCAGCTATAGGCCGTATAGGCCAAGTACCTGCCACCTGATAGGCCGGCCCGGCCTATATGGCTTAGCTAAGCCGGGCTTAGCCTATGAATACGGGCTTACAACCCCCTCAGATCGTTGATATCCGCTCGGCTCATCTCCCATTCCACTAAACTAGTCTGAGTTACTCCCGCGAGAACCGTAAGTTACATAGTCCCTACGCAAATTCCACGCACTGGTGCTAACAGAATAGAACGAGTATCAGTAAGATCACTAATAGTATTAGGCACTGATCCTACGTGCGGGTAGTGATATGGATATTGCTCGTGGTTGATGAAAACCCCCGAGGTCTAATAGGACTTGGTCAACCATAACGGGCACATTCACTGATGGATTCCTGCCGAAGAAACTGAATGGGAAGGAAAGGATTGTGGGATAGGACTACGTTGGAGAATCTGGAGGTAGATTTCCTGGACTTCTTTGAGCTGGTTGTGGATCGGTAATCGCGTAGTTATCATACTTCAACCAACAAGTGAGGATATAGATAAAATAATAAGCCACAATGAAAGTTGTAAGGGATCGAGCCACTCTTAAAACAATCAGCTCTAAAAATCCCACTTGCGGGCCTGTAGGCTCCTACCAGGCCTGATAGGCTTCGGCAGGCCGGTTGAGTTCGGCCTATATCCGCCTAGGCTCATCGTCAGAGCGGCCTGACTTGGCCCAGCCTATGGCCTATAGGCCGGCCTATCACTGACCTGGCCCGTTGGGAACACTGCAACCAAGACACAAAATAAACGGTTCCGGAATGATGTGTGGAATTGGGCCTAAATACATTTTTTGGTGGAAACTCTGCGCTCATCTCATTAGAGAAACAATACAGGGAACAGCCTAGTGGACCACAGCATGGAATTAGTAGTAAGCGCGTTGCTATATTTTACCTAGTACACATCCTATTACCTAACAAAAAACCATACCAACACACATACCAACACACATCCAAAGAACATCCAAAGAACATCAAGTTGGGCTTTAATATCTGAATATTTTTCCCCCATATCTGATCCGGAGTTCCTTATTTCCGCCTTTAGTTCCAGATACTTAGCTAACATATCCAACTTAACCATCGTTACATCTGACTTAAGTCCCCAATATTTCACCAGGATATCCGATTCAAGAGCCTGTAAACCAGACTGGAGCTTCTCATGATTCTCCGCGGTGTTTGTTTCCATCCTCGATGATAAGTCTCCAATAGCCTCCCCGTAAATTTGGGTAAACTTTGTCAGCTCCTATCGAGTATCAGCATCGTAAATCGTTCTCAAATGTCATCCTCTAAATATGGGCTATACTGTTCCGAAGGCCATAACCCGATCGTGTAGCCCCCCACTATTCACCTACTCCAAAAATTCATCAGTCGCCATTACAACTATCACTTGTTTAACAACTTACCAAATGAGAATTGTCTCCAGGAATCTGCTGTTGCCCGACCTCCTCAGTAACAGAACCTTCCTGTTTTTGCTCCGGGTTGGACAAGTTGTAACCATGTCCAGCACCCATAAATAATGGTGCACATCGCAGAGGGTGCGGGTGAACTGGTTGCGGAGCCAAGCAGTCCGATTTCTCAGAAGGACGGAGCATAGCCGTATGAGCAGGTGGCTAGTAGTCGTCTGTTGTGATATGAACTGTTGTGGTGCTGGGAAATTGGTGCGACCTTGTCTATCAAAGGGTGAGATCGAAGAAAGTTGCTGTCCCTCCAAGAGTGTTAGGGTTGCTCTCCTTTTATACGTGGGGAGGGCAGCAGTCAACCCTCACACTAGTTCTACCGCTTTCCCGTATTGGGAGAGACAAATACGTACTATCACAAGTACCAGGGCTCAACCCTATTAGGCAAAACGGATAGCGATATTTTTTGTCCATCAGGCTCAAAATGGGGCCCTACGATTTCTCACCTAACCTTTTATCAACAGGCTAATAATATCACTGACTCGCCTCGATCCATTTTTTGACCTCACCACTTCCCAGCAGGATGGGACTCCAACAGCCACATGGAGACCCTGTCCGGAAGACTAAACCAGATTGAACCATTACTAACAATCTTTGCAGCCTACCGACATTCGAGCGCCGCAAGTCCTAGAAAGGAGAATGGACACCGCAAGCGGAGAGGTAATTGTGCAGTGTTAGCTCAAGGATGACGGGCGCTAGCAGCAGATTACAGATTTCCTCTCCGAAACAGTTCCAATCTGGGGGTGCGTGTGGATCCCGAGGGTGCAACCGAGCTCTGTAGGTTATAACCTTTAGAGAATTAGGGGAGGCACAAGATGGGACCTATAGGGTCGGCAACCGACGCCGATATGCTCATCATGTGCGTACCATTTATTGTTTCCCCTGGTCCGCTTCTCCCTTACTCTGGCATTTTGTGAGGTATGTGCAAGCACATATTAACTGGCATAAAATTGGGCAGTAAGTTCCCCACCTCCCATCAATATATGACGCATACCGGTTCCATGGCATAAATCCACCTACAAGTACCCGAGCAAACGGGTTTTCCCCGCGAACAAACTCTCAGAATTGCAAATTTCAGTGCACGAGTCTTGTTGGTCCCGCTAGACTGCGACAGGACACGTGAACTTCCTGGGCAGGCTTCTCACACTCAAATCTGATGCAATTTTCCGACCAGATCATCTGGAGACCCCGCAGTGCCTAAGATCAAGGACATTCTATCAACGCACTGCATGCCCTACTGTCTTCCACACCATTCAGCCAAATACGGTGGACAGGAAGATGGAAAAGCATTCCCAGTTTTCCTCAACCTGAAGATGGGAACGGTATGAGGCCCTCGCTTCAAAAGTAAGGGAAGTGGTAATATCATGAAAAAAAGAAATTTTCCAACATCGCCATATTTCACGACATTGCTATTTTCCTCACTCCTGACTGTGTAGGCCTCGTATTGCCCCGTCCTTTGCACAGAATAAATTTCAGAACACTTTGGATTCAGGATGGGTTGTTTGGGTACTAGGAAACTACTGCTTTTAAAAAAACATGATCATGAAAAGCTTGAGCAAAGCACAACCGCACTGTACATGCCAACATGGTCAGGAAAAGAAAGAAAAAATAGGGAAAGAGGAGAACCCCCCCCCCCCCCGAAAACTAAAAGTTAGGAAGTTAAGGTAAAGACAGTTCCACTCGTTGCGTATCCATCCGGAATCTAACACTCGCAGATATCGCTCTCCTACAGTCTTTTCTCAGTGAAAAGGAAGAGATACTCTTGATCGTGCTGAAAAGCTGTTTTTTTATAAATTCCATGGGGCTTTTGATGTAAACCAATGCGCTGTGCTGTGCCTTCTAGGTGATAAATGAACTTACAGACAACTTGTGAAAATAAAACGCAGGATTGAGGAAGAAGATAAGAGGTATTGTGACTGAAAAGGGGGAAGCCCCTAGAGGCGCTGAGGTCAATGACGTCAGTGAGCGTAAGAGGCCAGGTGGGCCGCGGGTCCCCTGAATGCCCCAGTACTATGGTGATTTCCACTACATGCCGTGCGAGCAGCAAACATTCTATCATTCATGCAGATACCGAACCTCGACCACCGCCCTCCCTTCTCCCTTCTTCCCCTCCCGAGCCCCCCCGTACCCCCCCTTTTTCGATCCTAATTCCCGTGTTAAATAGGTTAGATTCAGCTATTTAGCTGAAAATACAGCATCAGATTCCAGGCAACCACTGAGATTTGTACCCGGGTATCATTTATGCTCCACACCCATAAAGGATCTTCTTGAAGCCAATCTATCACCCGACTATCCCTTAAGCTAGTGAGACATTCTGTCTATTTTAAAATGTATAGCACTAGCCTATTTGGGGAGTCCGGAGGGAATGCACTCAGACTCTCTGGTTCCTGTCATGGCCATTCTCAGGCCTATGGATTTTAGAGTTTTCTGAGCACTACGCCCTGACAGACCCACAAAGGTTTCCCTATCACGATTACCAAATTAGGCTAGTGCTACACATTTTAAAATAGACTACAGGTAAATGTCTCACTAGCTTAAGGGATAGTCCCGTGGGTAGAGACTGTTGAGGGACAGGCTCGTGTTCCCTTCAATCCGCGTTAATACATACACATATGCTAGAAATATCCTAGCAATCCCTATCGATTCCAGAGAAGCAGACAGATACCATCAGTGACTAGAGAAAGAGCTCTCGGGGATGCGAAGGCTAGACCCCCTCTTTCAAGACTGAAAGAACCTTCTAGTCATGAATGACACAATGAATTCGGCCTTAGGTCTCATAGGGGAACACGCAGTTGCCTGGCATCAAAAGGTTTGCTGAAAAAATTTGTGTTGTAGGGCTGCCGTGGGGCACAAGATCCGGTGGATATTGGCTTGGAAATCAAAGCCGTGCCCGGGGTATGTCTCCTCGGCAGGTATGTGGGGAACTTGGGTAAGCACTTAGAGTATATTTGAGTCCTAGAATAGATGTCATGATCTTGTTTAGGCCCCCACGACACACCCCGACACGACTTCATTCCCAACTGCAATTAGGAGGGATGAGAGCCTTAGAAAGTGGCAAGAATGTTTACTATTCGATACTTGCGGCCCACGTCCCATACTCTTAATTTTCCAGAACGATTGTGCTCTCGCGGCTGTGACTGCAGCGGTGAGAGTCCAGACTTGGTTTTTTTTAAGTCTGGTCCGGTAAAGAGTCTCCTCCTCCCCTCGCCCTATTTCCGACCCCGATGGGAAGGAGTGGCACTAAAGAGGACATGAGCAAAAAGGTCTGGGATTGGGCAGCTGGCCATGAAACTGCGCATGGTGGCGAATAACAGATTTTGTTTTTCAGCGTTCGTGGGAAATCTTATCCCTTACTCACCCTTTCCCAAATTGGGGAAGCTTCCATCTACACTTTGAGATGTCAGGGCTGTGGAGAAGAGTTGGCAATGGTGTTGCATTGCTGATGCTTTGCCTGTTTGAATAGGTGTTTTGTGAATGAGAGGGACCGACCGAGAACCGGTATCACGTGGTTCAATACAATATATGATGAGGTCATTGTTTGCCGGACAAGTATTGAAAGGTCCCAGAAGTCAGCGTGATTCTAAGATGTCTGAGAACATGGAGAATTAGGGATTTACACTGAAGAGCATTGCACTAATGGGATGATGTAACAGCATAGTAGAACTCTAGAACATTTTGGAAATATGTTTGGATTGAATTGGGTATAGTCTCCAGGAGAGTGTGAAAAGGAGATTCTTGAAGGGGTCACCAGGAATGAACAGAAGGTGGGAGTGGAAACCAAAGTGGGAGATGTGGCAGGAAAATCGGAGAAGGGTCTATTTTGTATAAACTCAAAATTTGGAGTGCTCTGGAGTGTATGAGAGTGTTTAACAATTTGTGGTGCAGTGTGGCACCATGTGGTAAAAGTATATAGACATAGTGACATTTTCAAATAGCAGATCACTTATCCAGAGCAACAATTCTGCAGCCATAAAAATGTGAGGAACACAGAGCAATTACAATTAAAGCATTTATTGAATAGAAACAACCCATGATGAACATCTTTGTATAGTAACTCTCTGGAATCACTTAACTGAAAAGGGTTCACCTACTCCATGGAAAGAAATTGCAAAAGAGGTGGGAGTTGAATGGTATACCTGCTGGATGATCTATTTGCCTATTTGCAGATGAAGAGGCAAGGATTACCTTCCAACTGAAAGCATACCAGGCAGCCTCCTACCCTAAAGGAGGATGATGTTCAAAAAAAATAATTCTATACCACTCTTGACTGCAATATGCAATGAATACTAAGGGAAGAAATTAGAGACAACCTTAGTCTCTCATATCATCCACATTGTATCCAAGATATCCTTGCATTACAAAGACATCATAAATGTACTCCTTGTTACAAGTGCGGAATAAGAGCTGAAAATTAAGGAGAGTGAGTATGGAGGTGTCAGGAAAAGTGTGTATGGAGGTGTCAGGAAAAGTGAGTATAGAGGTGTCAGGAAAAGTGAGTATAGAGGTGTCAGGAAAAGTTGTGTTGGACATATGATGATTGGTTCAGAAATTTTTAGTGTGATGAGTCCTTTTCTACAGCCAGTTTTGGCAGCTCATCAGTTATTAGAAATACTCAGGAGCAATATCATTCTGAGTGCCTAGATGAAGTGTGGGAGTCAGGATCAATAGGGGTCATGGTTTGGAGTGAGTTTTCTGGATACTTGAAAAGTGATTTGGTTTTCATTGATAGAAAAGTTACAATAAACTCTAAGGTTTATACAGTTCAGCACTTCTATTGAGCTCCCTGTCTAGAAAGCCGAGGTGGATGGGAGGGCCAAGGGAATATAAAGAAAAGCAACAATTTATTGTTAGGAATTAGTGCTCTCGAACGCCCCTATCGGCTATCGCTCACTGTCCCGGTGGGCGGCTCCAGACCCCTAGGTAATCTAATTGCTTTATCCCAGGAGTCAACAAATACATGAAGGATAGCCAATGAAAATATTCCACTGATACCAAACTGACTCATGTCAAGCCCATCCATATCCCCAGCAGTGCCAGTTTGCATACTCTCATGAACCCACTTGAATATTCCAATAGCTTGTTTCAATTATCCATCTACTAGAAAGCAGCTGAATCCGTACTCCCACAGTAACTCCCCCACCAAACACCTCCTGCTTGGGTTTGTAGGGGTCGCTATCTAACACACCATGTGAGTTACATACCCCCTCAGTGGGGAGATAGTGGAAAAACTGTCTCCAAAGAGTGACCCCATAACTGACCTATTAAGAATTTTTCTTCCTATTCTCCTCTTTCCCGACAACCTCCACAAAACCCCTAACCGCATCCCAATCTTTACCGCCAGACTTAAAAAACTTCTCAATGTCCACCACCCATTTATCGATGGCATCCTTCTCTCCAGAAATCGCTTTGGCGGTGGCATACGCTGTGCCTATAGAAATCGACTGTGCAAGTTGAAACCCCAGTTTAATATCCCTCGTGAGGTCATCGATCCTCGAGCACATAGTATCGGTCCCCGGATGTATACCATCGATCCTCGAACAGAAATCCCCATGATTTCCCCTCCGCGAAACAACTAGACCAGCAAAAAGTGAAGCATTAAAAAGTCCAAGACTATATTAGCTCAGACCCCCTGTTATAGGAAAGATTGTGTTAGCAACCATTCAAGGCTGTGGTGGCAACGCTATGGCAACGTACCGATGAAAAAATTCATTCCCGATACTAGATCTGAAGCTTAACTCTGCCGGCGATAGATTTGCTTGCTCGCTGTCTTTCCTGTCAGGCGGGGTTATTCGAATTGAGCCGGCTTCTCCCCTTCACCCACAGATTAGCAAAAAAACCAGTCATCCATGCTCCAGCCAGTCCGGGAGGCAATCCAAAGTTAAACAGACTCACCTTGTCATTTTGCAATCCTTGCTCTTTGTGCATCCGTCCCTGTGTGCTACTATCGAAAGAGTGTGGAGTACTCAAGCCGGTTGGAATTAGGGGGGCCAAACGAGAGCTTCCAACCGGATCGGACAAATAGAAGAAAGAATCCCCAGCCAAGGGAAGAAAATATTCAACTTATCGGCACAATCCTGGAGAAAGGTCGAGCAGGCGCTGCAGACCAAGGGAGAAAGATTCATAGACTTACCCCCTAACCCCTAAATCCTCCTTTCCCCCTCAAGCGTGAGAGATACTATGATATCATACCCTTAAATTCCAGGCACTTGTGAAAACGACACATGACTACTACCGCAAAAACTCGCCAAACTCGCTATGCAGGTAGGAGAATTTAGGCACTGATGCGTGGCGATACAGCCAAGATCATTCCAGTGACCAACCTATTTTCTCTTAGCTGATGAGACCAGCATCATTATTACAGTATTTCATGTAGGTACCGGCACCCGTATACACCTATTCTCAGGTGTTGTTGTCATTTTCCGTCATTTCTCAGGGTAAAAAAGCTCCTGTCCAAGCCCTAGCGCCAATACCTGCATGGCGAGTTTGGCGAGTTTTTGCCGTACTACACACCACCATATCCGGGAGGCCGGTCAATGGTTCACCGATACGCCATGGTGCGCTCACGAACGTCAGAAAATTACGAATACCATACCCATCGTCTTGATCATGCGCCACATCTCCGTCACCCAAATGCACGCCCAAGCGCCATGTGGAACGTTCTCATCGCTTGAACTGCTGTACAGCATTCCTCTGCCTCTGCTAACCCCACGATCAGCTCCGAATCCGCTTGTCTCAGAAAATCAGGCGTTACCAAACCACCGCTGCCAAGGGCCTCAAAGAAGGAACACGGAGTGAGGTGCTCGGTTACCAAAGTTAAAATTAATGATTTGCCGGCAACAAGCTCCGTATTGGATATCACTCCATTAGGTGATAGGATAGGGATTGAACTTGGAAACGAACGGTTGACAAATTTCAATTGTCGCTCGTTCCGGTGAAGACGATTGAGTATAGCCGGGCACAATTTGTACGATTGTGGCGCCATGGTGTTTTTTCTGTTGAACATACCTCGACTTTTACACAATAGAGCTATGCGGGGACCATACAAACACATCCGTAGACCCTTAAGCACTCGCGATCTCCAGGTGTTGAAGGTTCTGCTCTAAATCTATTTTCTCTCTCCCTCCCACCCCTCTCCCCAAGCAAACAAACAAGACTCGATCCGTCCGCACCTTCACCAGCTCTCCATATTCCTCATCCGTTTCCACATAACCCTTCTCAACTCCTGACTCCACTCTCTGTATATATCATAATTTATCTTGCATCTTTCCTCCATTCTGGCTCCGCAAAAACTTCTGTAGTGATCATTGTCGCTTTACTTCTATTTTTTCAACCTGTCCAAAAAAGAAATCCCAACCCCGAGCGAGACCCCCCGAACAGGTCCCCCCAGCCTGGTGCCTGGTATGTGACTTAAAGCCCAGTTTGGCTCACCGTTGATTGAGTAGTTCGTTGATTCAAGGCAAATTTCTTTTGGAGCTCCTTATCCGGTTAGATAAATTTCTTAACATGCCCGAAAGCATGCTTTAACACCTATCAACTCAATTCCGTAACTCTCCCTATCAACCCAAAACGCATTTTGAACCAACAAACGGCTCAATCAACCGCGAGCCAAACAGGGCCTATGATAAGTGTTTGTTTACCCTAATGACCTGAGAATTAGAGGGGATATTAATCAGACTAACCCTGCAATAAAAATTACACCTAAAAAGCAGATTTTCTAGGATACTCTCGACTTTTTTTTTTCTTCGAAAAAAACTCAAAACTCAAAACTCAAAACGCCAGAACCATGAGAACAGAAGAGTCGCTTAACTTACGCCCTACCAGGTGCCCTTCCAAGAATCCCACGAGGAAGGATTTTTGGTTGCCCCCCTCCTCAAGGGATTCCAAGATCAATTTTCCTTTTCCTAGACTCAGCTTCTCTCGTTAACAAGCATCGGTATAATCTTCCGTAATACCATTTGTTAATAACTTAGACGATGGAGCCGCCCGTATGCATCACGAGGGTACCGCAAAGTTTGGTGAAACCCTTCACAATGCTACAGAGCTGTTCTGAATAAAAGTCAAAGGCTGGTTTTGCAACCAGGCTGGGTTAAGGATGTCTAGTTGCCCTGGTAAGAGGTTATCTCATCGTCAACCAACAATAGCTACTGATCTTGGGTCCCCCTCACCATTCTCAATTTGTGGCAGCCATCATACATGGGGACGTGTCGCTTCTAGAACACTGGAGAACTGCTACGCCAGATCAATCGCCCTGTCCCTGGGGACTGGCCTCTTTCCCTTCCCTCATGTGTCTCCCTAATTGAAAATAATCCCGCCCGGACATGCTATAGCTTGACCTATCCCTCCACAGTTCCTACCATCCTCATTTAGTGTTAAGAGATATCATACGCCCGTTGAAATTCCACAGCACAAGTTCCGGGCACTGGTGATGAGACCGATTTTGAATGGATACGGATTATGTGTACTGGATTCCAATTAGTGTTCCTAGAGATAATGGATAGCGGAGACCTTTTTACCATTTATTTCTTTCCCCACCTTTTCTCCCGTGCGTACCCCCATACCCCAAACTCTGTCTGCGAAACGCCCTCCAGTTTCCCCTAGATTTTAGCTGAATCATCACACTAAGGAGTTATTCCTTTACTCACTCCTTAGTAGAACCTCAATCGTTGTTCGTTCTTTTGTTGCTCTCTTCTCTGTTCCTGAATAAGAGCAAGTATACCAGTGTCCAGACAGTCGCCCTATATACATTACTGTACATCACAAATATAACAAAAGAGGGGCCCAGGACAAAGGAAAAAGTACTTCCCCCAGTACTTCCCCCCAGTAGCGCTGTAGTTGGATACAAATCCGAAAAAAGGGATATACTTCCCCTATGGTGTCCGCATGCCCCCCCCATTGTCGCCCCTCACGCCAGCCGAAAATCCACTACCGTCTAGACCTTATCAAAAGGTCCCAAGTTCCACCAAACACCATCTTTACTTTGAGGTTCCGGTAGTCATACATTAAGCTGACATTATGCAGGAAACAAAAGTCGGCACCAAGAATATTGATATCGCTAAATCGAGAGTTGGGGGGCGACATGCGAACCTCCTTAGAGTGCCCACCGATCGTGACAAGTGTTGGATGTCCTTCCCTGATATTAAGAAGTTTGCTCGTCTAAGCTTGTTAGTCAGATGGGGCTCCCTTCCTCATACCTCATACCTACACTTACCTGAGCAGAAAGATATGTTAACGGAGAACAGCCGTCCAAGACAAAATAAACCCAACGAGCCTCCCCTTTCAGGCCCACAGCAAACGGCACTATAGGTCTGAACTTTTGTCCATAGAAAAAACCAGTGCATGCGCAAACCACTTCTCTGGCATCAGCCTCCGTAGCCTCCGACAAATATGGGACACCCAATTGCTTAGCAATTGCTGTTTTCAGGGTCTCGTGATTCACATCTGTGATCAACACATCATAATCCATGGAATCTCTGCCGGTGCTACCAGCACCGGTTCTCCCGCCTCCCTTAGAATCTTGCTGGTGCCTTCCTCTGAAATCGTCCCGTCGATCAACCTGGGCGGAAGAGAAACATCGAATGATTGCGTGGCAACGGAGGATCCCGGAATATGGCACTCCCACACTATCGATATGGTGTGATGCGGTGAGTTTGGGGTGAGCGAGGCTAGCTCTACAAATGGGAGTAGCCCCCCTTAGTGCTCGAAGGCCGAGGTGTTTGAACATGTTACTACTGCGACCTTTTTCTATCGTCTTTGCTTGCCTACTCGTTCGTTAAAGCCGCGGAGTGAAATCTGGTGAGGTACTTTTGTCAGTTTTTCCAGGATGTCCTATCCGTAGCTTCTCCAATGGCGGGTTTGAAGTGTCTTTGCTCCTTCTCCCAAAGCCTGGGACAACGCTCCCTCTTATACGAGTGCGGCCGATAAAGATATTCGCCACGTGCCTTATCTAAGGACAAATCGCAGCCAAAAGGTGCACCAAAACTTTCTTATCAGACTCACGTGACGAATATATCTATCGGCCGCAATCGTACACGCAATGTGGCGGATGCCAAGCCTCACGCTGCTCGAATATTACGCCCGCCCCCCTTTTTTGTCCTATGGTCCGCACCACCGGAGTGCACAACTTCAGATATCCCGGCCCCAGTAATTCCCTGCGGTTCTCGGTTCCGATGAGGCAATGGAATTAATGGAAATATGTCCTATTCTTATCACTTATGCAGAAAGATACAAGCAGTGAGGTCTGTAAGATGGGCTAACAAGCCAGTGCGTGAAGGCGAATAGAAATTTTCACAAAAAGCACAGTCGATACTATCCCCTTCCTTCCCTCCACCGGGGGGGGATTCCCAGAAGTTTATAGTATGTTCATGACACATAGTCCGTCAACCTTTCTCCAACGCAATTCTGCACGGTAGTGTCCCAGGGTGTTTCTAAGTGAGTGCAAGACTTATCCTGCTGTCGCACGTAGTGGTCATAATTCACCAGCCAAAAGAAAGCACCAGACCATGGGCATCGTGGGTTTTATGGGCACTCAGATACACAAAGGCCCTCTAGTATATGATGTCACACCGGTAACTAATTATGGGAATTACTTCCCCAGGGCGCCCCTTGCCTGCTGCTCGCAACCCTGTTATCCTCCACGCAACATTTCTACCATCGATCTAGCAAGGCCAACCTCCGTTCCCAGAACGCTCTCGAGAAAACTACAGATCTTCCGGCATTTATCTTGGCCACTCAGTGTCCAGTGATAGAAGATAGAATCTTACCCCTTCCTTCAGAGAGAGGTCCTTAGTTGCAGGGGAACGAATGGCGTCCAGAGTACCGTGGCACTTCTACGCTTCCGGCTCCACTACTACGCTGGCTTCGACCTCCCTCCCCTCTGCTCAAGAGGTTCCTCGAAATACTATATTGAAAATAACGAAGAATACAGAACCTTTTGTGAAAAGGTACAATACCACTACCTATAACAGTGACAGCAGTAATAAAGTAGACAAACAACAAAATGTACCAGCAACTTACCTTCATGACCCAATAACACGAATATCCTCGTGAAACTATCTATCTATTTGAACCAGCCAACTCAGTAGTCTCAGGATCAGACACCCCCTAAAGCCGCAGTCCCACGGCAAGTCCCTGTCTAAACCCATCCCCTTCGAGTTCTTAGTCCATAGCTGGCCTATACAACACCGAGTGAGTTACATTCCTTTATCAAGAGATGTGGTGATTAACACCTTGAAGGAATGATATTACCACAGACATCGCAATGTATTTTCATCCGATTTTCCTTTCTACAGACACTGGCAGTTCCCCTGACAGCATCACAATCCCTACCACCACACTCTACACTCCCAGTTTTCCCAACGGGCTAGGCCACTGACGGGCTTGCCCATGGGCCATAGGCTGGACAAAAGCAGGCCTCTCTGACAGCGGGCCTAGGCGGATATAGGCTGAACTCAACCGGCCTGCTGAAGCCTATCAGCCCTGGTTGGCGCCTACAAGCCTTTAAGTGGGATTTAGAGCTGGTTGTTTTAAGGGTGGCTTATTATTTTATCAATATCCTCAGTTATTGGTTGAAATAACCACGCGATGAACTATTCGCAATAAATTCAACAAAGCCCAGGAAATCCACCTCCAGGTTCTCCAACGCAGTCCTATCTCACAATCCTTCCTTCCGGTTCAGTTTCTTCCACAGGAATTCTATTAAATCCATCAGTGGATGTGCCCGCTATGGCTGACCCAGTCCTATTAGGCCTCGAGGATGTTGATCAACCATGAGCAAATCCATATCACTACCCACACATAGGTTCAGCGCCTGCAGGCTCTGGCCGGGCCAAATCCCATACTCGTGGCAGGCCGGGTCCAGGTTGGGTTTAGCCTGGCCTACCTGGCCCGTTGGGAACACTGGATACACTGGGACTCAGGCCTTACCGGTAGTATATCATGGGGGTGCAGAGCACGTAGGATCAGAGATTAGGTAAAAGGGAAAAATGCCAGAATATTTCGGGGGTCAGTTGAGGAAAACAGGATACGCCAAACAATACAACTCGCAAGGGCTCGATACAAGTTGTTACACTTCACGGGGCGTATTTGTGTCGAAGAGTGTTGGGGAACCTCAGGTTACTGACGAAGTCTTCCGGAGAAGTGTGAAGGCCAGATAACATTTCCGAGGAGCTCGGTAATAGATGGAAAAGAAGGAAGCGGTGTGGAAAGAGAAGTGGAGCAGAACTGTGAAGAGGTCTGTTCCATAGGTGAGAGATTTGTATATAGGACATCTATAACACCGGATCGTAGAAATGGACAAGGACCCAAGTTTCTTGCTTCCACTAATAACTTAATTTTATGACGGAATACGAAGCTTGGATGTTATGGACATGACGTGACGCCAGGGTGCTTCAGCTTGAGAGATGAGGTCTAGGTGCGCCAACAGCCTTAACTGCTCGAGTACTTGCCTTCCGAAGAAGCTGAGCATCTCTAGCTCTATTTGATATACAACATCATTTCCAAAGGTCCAGGGGGCTCGCCGGGGTCGAGTGTAGATTACCAAGAGCCAGGGATGATACTAGACAACATTTAGCAGTCAGTTCATCACAGTGATACCCCAGGGTGCCCGCCTTCTCTCGGACAACCGGCGTTCAACACCCGGGGAGGGAACCCAGGACAGCCGAGGACCAAGGAAGCTGACAGCGTGCTATTTACTGATCGCAGCTCGGTCGATACCGATTGCAATGAAACTGAATAAACGACTGGGACGAATAGGCTGGGTAGGAACTTCGATAGTTGGATTTCAGAAAATGCCCTCATTACCTGGATAGCAGGATTTTTCTGGAACTCTATAGGATGTGAAGATCACCCAATTAATAGTAGCAATAATTTTTCCGCACAGGTTTTACAATCACTCGATATAAATAAATTTCTAAATTTGCCAGGAAAATGTATGAAAATGCAAGGGAGGTTCAAGGCGGTTATGAAATGCATTGAAAATCACAAAAGCAATCACCCTCTCATGCGAAAGGAAGACTTAGCCCACATTAATGATAATAAATAGAGAGCATGCAACACTCACTCTGTGATAACCAGCTGCCACCTTCACTATTTTTTCCATTCATATGAAAATTTAATGCAATTGACGAGGGACCCACTAGGAGTGAGCAAATGAATGAGGGCAAGGTATCTATCCGGCCAATGGTAGCACTGCTGTGGATGAGTATTCCTGCTTTTTTATCCCTCGGTTGTTTGTCCAGAAACAACCACTCGCTTATTTCAGGCGAGCTTATACCAGTCAGTTCAACGATATCAAGAGCAGAAATCAAGAGCAGAGCTGTGTCAATTGCACTGCGTAGTGGAACGGCATGCTTTAGAGTTTCAAACAAGAGAAACCAGGAAAGTCGCAGAGCCCAAAAGCAGCTCCATTATTCCCAAATTACACATGAACTCTAGTGTAGCGAGTTTATTTTTGATGGGCTTGCTAGCAGCTTCCGAGGTCAATGTGTTGAGGTAGGTAGGTCAGACTAAAGAATTAAACTATCAAGGTAGCCAAGCAGCTCATCAAGATTGGCGCGACCGGGGTTCCCTACGTACAGGCGTCGGGCACTCGTTGTAGATTGGGAGAGCGAGCTCTTGTTTTCCAAGCAAATTTGGGAAATCCCATCGCCTTCCACGACGCCCAACAGCCCCCACAGTCAGTATAAAAAAAACCAAATGTGTGGTCAAAACCGCCACCTCATACCGCCTAGAATCACCCAGATTCTATGGGTTCCATTACTGTGCCAACGCTAGAAATTCTCCCATGGCATCCTAAACCGGAAGTGAGCCCAATCTAGGCCCTACTACGGCCGATGGGATACCGAGAGGAGGGGGACATGGTGGGCTCAAGCTAAGCCGGCTTACAATAAAACGACCACTCTGAGTAATGAATCAATAGAGTAGTGGACAACAAGGAGAGATATGTTTCAGTCGTGGAATATAAAGGAACACAGGTCTAAGGTTAATCGTTAGAATTAGTACAATCATATATCATATCAGATATGATACCAGGGCTCACAACCTGTCTGTCCATTGAGATATAAGGTATGAAGAGACGGTGGATTTAAGGAAAGGATCCCCCACGACCCACCCCCCCGTCCCATCTCGCCAACCAATGTACTAGCGCGCTAGGAACATTAGTTTCCCCGTGGCCATCACCCATCGGTTGGGTATGTGTTGTCAGGGTTACCGGTATCATACCTCCCCGGCCCAGGCATTCCCACATGTCGATGGGGTTCTCTGTTATGGTAGAACGGCACCCGTAGAGAATAGTTCCTTTACCGCATATACCTGATTTAGCTAGCCTTAGCCCTCGAGCAGCCGGGGAATGAGTACCTCAAGAGGGAAGCAAAAGTACGCCTCTTTGAGCGACTCTTTCCCCTTAAAATAGTCAATACTTTAGTAGAAACAAACCCCCTTATCAAATTACCCTCAAAATTTGACACAAGCACGGCAACCTTCTCACAAATCCGACTCCTCTAATGCTCCGTTTTCTATTTAACAGTTTTAGCGCCATTTCCCGCTCAACCAGACTATGTGGTAGTCTTGATAACACATTATGCACCCGTCGATCTGATCATTCAGCCAGTAAAAGATATGGACGCCGGTTTATCTGCCTGTTGGCAAGCCAGTGCTAATCGAGTGATATATGGTGATAGAGAACACAGATATCATTACTAACGCTGGAAAAGGAGGCAAGGGGAA